CCCATATCCATTGTGGTTGGTTATGGGCGATGACTGACCATTTGTGCCTTGTACTATTTGCGTGCATTTGGCATTCTGCTCCAACTTTCTTCTTCCAAACACTGGTCTCATTAACCCATTCTTTTGTACTCCACTGTGCCTTTTCCCCGCGCGATTTGTTCTGTGGGTCAACCCCAGTTTGTCTGTCCATCTGATTGGTGTGCACAACTGTCTCGATTCACAGTTCCTTGGGCGTTTGACCATCGTTTCGAATTACATTCTCACCACAATGAACACCACTAATGCCGCTATTATTATTACTACTACTACTATTATTAGTACTATTACCACTGCTATTATTATTACTATTCTACTTTCATACCTGTGTACATAGAGGCTGTATTATGTGCAGTGATTTTCCGTCCCTTCGCTCGTCTGGCACACCTATTTTTTGTGATGTACTTTTGTCTGTGCTCTCCTTCCTCGTTTTTCCGTCGATCTTGATCGGACTGACTGGGAAAACGCAACCTTTGTACAGTCGTTCACGATCGCATCGTCCTTGTTCATGTTGTCTTAATCTAGAGCTAAGGCCCATGTGAACACCCGTTGTTCCTTTTCACTGCAGGGATACCAGGGCTCTAACTACAATGAATTGTCAGTTGGTTATATATATATATATATATATATATATATATGTGGATGTGAGCAAATAAACTATTTAAACTGTGATGTCGAAACCGCCTCGTAATTTTTCTTAGCCCATGGTTACGGTCGCACCGCTTGATTTTGTGAAACTAATTGTCCTTAACCTTGGATCAAATTTCGTTCATGAGCATGATTTTCAAACAAAGCGTTGCATCATGTTTTTCTCAGTGTTATTTTCACACCCTGTTCAAGGTGTTCCAATTCCGCTAGCCTGGCAGCGCGTGATTTCGTTGCTCTCAGAACTAGACCATTTAGATTTGTTGTATATTACATAGTTGGATAGCACGGCTTATACAATCACTACAAGGTGGTTGATACTTTCGTTTGAGAACTATTCATTCAGCAGTACCTGTGGCGATTGATTCGATTGAACTAGTACGGCGACTCGTTCTTCGATGTTTCCCTCGTACGGGCTCAGAAACATCAGTGTGATCACTATATAGATATATATATCTCACATTCTATCTGATATAATACCCGCTTATGTCTTTGCTTAAACTAGCCACACGCCATTGATTCCCGGCGCAGCCTCCGATTCATTATAGTGTTTAGTAAGACTCCAAAAACGATAGGTGTTTGATGGGTGTTGCGTACCGACCTCCCGCATCGTCAGACTCAGCTAACGAAATTTTGTTGTAAACCATGCATTATCACTGAAGTTCACCCATGTCCTTATAATGGGTGACTTTAACTGCCCCAATCCCATCAGAACGAGAACTTCCCGCCAGCCATTCGAGAAACAAATATCTCAGTTGATTGGATTGCACCCACTGTACAACCACGTTACACAACCCACCAGATTCGGAGCAGTTCGCGTACCATCAACACTGGTTTTAGTGCTGACTAACGAGGAGCTGATGGTGGAATCTGTCAATGTCACGTCTCCACTTGGGCGTAGTGATCATGCCGTTTTGAAATTTGATTATATAGGCTACACCTCTCCCCAAGAAAACCGAAAGAGCAGTACTCGTGCCATCATAGACCACAAATGCTGCAAAACCAGAAGACGATCAGGATCCTTTAGTGGCATGGAAGAGCTTCACTGATTATCTTACCGAAATTGTAACGGCTGCAACAGGTATAAAAACCTGTGCTAAATCTGGAACTCGTCATTCATTCATTCGCAGGAACAAAGAAATGGATAGAGCAAAGGAACTTTTCCTGGCGGGAGTACAGGAAATGTCCACCTATCGAAACTTGGAATAATTATTCCCTACTGCGAAATCAGCTGTGCGAAATTTGTACGAGACGACAGATTGATGTACCAAGAAATCCTGGCTCAAAAAATCATTTCTTATCCAGAATTGCTTTATAAACATAACCCTACAAGGAAGATAAAATGTGGAATACCAGCATTGAGATCGTCTGGACATGTTTCAAACACTACTCTAGAAGCAGCAGAGTTCCTCAAAGAACAGTTCGATCAGTTGTTTACAGCAACGCACACGAAGTATTACAGATTCCAGGCAAACTACCCTGTATACCGTATCCGTCGCTGGATAGCATGGCTTTTGACAGCGAGAAGGTTAGAGCAAAACTACTAACTTTGCGTAAGAATTCATCCCCAGTAGCAGACAGCATGCATCCCCGGACTCTGCTGTCGCTAGCCAACAACGTTTCCGAACCTCCGGCTGTTCTTTACTAAAGGATGTTCATCCAGGCAGTACTTCTGCAGTCATGGCTGGAAGGGGTGATTTCCCTGATTTACAAAGGGAATCTCGCAGTGATCCCGCCAACTACCACCCTGTTACTGTTCCGATATTGTCGAAACTCATGGAAGCTATTGTGACAGATCTGTTGATGGACTATCTGGAGAAGCACGAGCTTTTGTCTCTAACTCAGCGCGGATTTCGGCACAAGCGTTCTGCACGGGATGAGTGGACTAGATCTGTCGATGCAGGCCATCCATTGGATATAGTTTATTTGGACTTCTCCAAGGCATTTGATCGGGTAAACCACCAAATTCTACGGCGAAAACTCTACAACTACGGATTAAGAGGTTTGTTTCTGGACTGGATCAAAGGGTTACTCCGACGAAGGATCATGTCATGTTAATTTATGTTGAGGATTTTTTTGTCAGAGTCGATCACCGCTACCCGAGGGGTTCCTCAAGGATCCGTCTCTTTCTGGCATTTATAAACGATCCGCCACATGTGCTTGGGCCTAATACGCTGCTATTTGCGGGCGACGCTAAGATCTGGCGAACTGTGGCACATCCTGAGGATTATCTAGCACTCCAACAAACGATCGATGCAGCTCACCAATGGTCAATCGCTAATGACGTCGAGACCAAATGCAGAGTTACTTCCATGCGGCATAAGACTCGTTTCTCCTATGTTCTGGGGAACCAAACACTACTGCATGCCACTGATGAGAGAGATTTGGGAGTTATGGTATAGGAAGACGTAGGCTGTTCCACGCACTGTGCCAGAGCACCATCCATAGCTCTAAAACAATTTGGACTACTTAGACCTGTTTTCGGGCAGTTCGAAAGAGCACGTTTGCTATCAGCGTTCGTTCGTCCACACACGGAGTACGCCGTTCAAGTATGGAATCCATGATTTAACCGCGACAAGAAAGCTCTAGAACGTCCGCAAAGGCTGGCAACGAAATTGGTAATAGGTCTGTATAACAAGACATACTCCGAAAGGTTGCAAATATGGGGACTCTACTTATCTCAATATCGCCGACTTCATGGACCTAATCTTAGCACATCACATACTGCACTAAACCAACCACTCCTGCCGTTCCATGCTGACTTTATCCCATAATGTTCACCTCAGGGGACATCCACTAAAGACACAGAAGAGCCACCTTTATTGCCGGCATCACTCGTTTGAAGTCAGAGTTTGCGGCGTGTGGAATTCTCTCCCATCTGATGTAGCGTGTACTCCTACAGGTGGACTATTTAAATCGCAACTTGATAAAGCATTGGGACACTTAAAATTTCAACATCCGTGAGTGATCATGCAAATTTTTATTATTATTTTCTCTTTGCAAAGTTATTCGGAATATTCTGTATAAATCCTAAGGAGCATGATAAGCTTGAGCTTTGCTAAAATTGCTGATAATAAAACTTTGACTTTGATTTCATGCAGGTATTTCATCTCGTTCATGTTCCACTTGCCCTTCTTCATTGTTGAGCTCTGAAGGCTGTCGCTTTCGCACGGAGTCCACCAAGTTGACTGTCAAACAGAAGTTACCAGCTCCCTCCAATACACCCCACACTCTAACCACTAAGGACCAATGTTGAGACAGCTAACATATCTTTTTTTCTGATATAGGGAAACGTTTTCGAATAATTTAAAATCCCAGCCTCTGCGCAGTGACTGATTGAATTTGGCATTGAACTGCATGAACTGCATAAATTTGAAAAAAATAATATTCAATAGATCTAACCGTTTTCTACCACCAACCTCAAGCGAGAAAATATACCAACCTTCATTTGTGAAATATGACTCCCGCAAATGCATTTAAAGAGTAGCATTTACCAAAACCCTCCCCTATCAGATCCAAATTTT